TTTGAATTTTCAGTATGATATGGCGCTTATGACCATTGCGAGATTGAACTGAAAATTACTAATGTATTGTTAAACCATGGAAATGTATTGTACATTGAAAATCTAAAGTTTCACGAGAAAGAAAGAATGCATATTATTATATTATTATATTTGTTAGAAATATAAACGTTTTAGTAAAAATTACCTGAAGAAAATAAAATATTGTGGTGTGTTTGATCATATGGAAAATGTTTATTTTAAAATACAATATTTACTAAAATGAAGTAGGTATATTATTCATTATTACTATAGGGTTGGAGTATATATAACAGTGCAAAACAAATATGGTTATAGGGCCTGGTTATAGTAATGATATGGTTGGTCAAAGTTCTTTTCAGGAAGTATGAAATAATTATGGCGGACAGTAAGGTGTTAGAGTCGTTTATTAAGATATTATTTCATTTAATTATATTAATGTGTATATGTTTTCATAGAAAATAAGATATTCATATCGTATTGTTATATATTATGTACATCATGGTCATAATATATTTACACTGTTTATACTAAAATATAATAAAATAAAATAATTGATGTATGTTTTTAATAGCGCTATGATAATAACTGTATGGAAAATATTTAAATTAATATATTACATGAATTTATCAAAATTATTGAAATCAATTTACAACGTTTTTAACACAATATATATATATATATATATAAAATATGATACATATGCCTTTAACAGGGTTAATATGATAATTGTACAGGATTTTATCTAAAATTATAATATTTTTACAAGAAGTGATGATATTCGTATGTTTTGATGTATTTTACCGACGATTACATTTGTGATTGTCTTATGTGATTTTGAAGAAAAATACTAATAGCATTTTTATTTTAAATATTTTGAAAGGTATAAAGAATATTTATTTTAATTAATCGATAAAGTTATATTCCTACATGAAGTGTTTTATTTTTATAAATTAATATAAGTAAGTTAGTATATAAAGATATGAATCATATATTTACCATTATAATCGTAAATGTTTTCAGCTGTTTAAAAATCTTGAATTTCTCGCTTGTTTGGTTATTGTTGTTGAAATACGATATTTGTACCTGAAAATAATCCGTCGAACAAATTAAACTCTGTTTAACACCTAATTATATATATATATAACATACGTTTTAATGTAATAAATTAAGTCATTTATGTAATAATTATAAATTATAAATAAACATAGTCTTGTTTTTATATATATTGTATCTGATAAATTTGTTTATTGTATTTAAAATACTTACGATGTTTATCCTTGCTTGTTCGATGAGGTTATCTCTTCGTGTAAATATTTCTGAGCATATACTGCAAGAAATCTTATCAGGTACAAATGTGACTTATCGTCTGCGTAAATTTTAATCAATGTAAGGTTTTATCATAGTATACACTTGAACATGATTACGTTAAATACAAGAACACTAGTCGAACTCGAAACAATACTTTCACTTCACAAAATGATGGGTAATGAAATATAGTAAAATATAATGTATTTTAAATAACAGTGAAATTAAACGATTAAATAGCCACGGAGTACAATACAGAACTAACGTACGAAAACGAACTATGGTGTATCAAGATGATACTTTTAAAATATTTGAATACACTTAAAAACACTTTAGAACTTGACGACAATACATGACCATACATATAGACGGCAGTACATGGACTAATTAAATTTTGTACTACAATTTCTTGTTAGTAATCCGACAATACTTGACATGTCCTAAGGTCTGTTGTCATACAAACGTATAATGCGTTGGTCAAACATGTCGGGAAAGGGTGACAGGTATAGATTTGAATGCGTAATTGTGACTATGTGTGTGAAATTGAGTAAAAAGACATATACTCACTATATTGAATTCTGATGGTCGAGGTATTTATAAGGTGTACTACGACTACTGTATAACATGTACTATATGTAACGTATGCTGTGATACATCTATGTTCATTGATATAAACGTATAAATAAGGTTGGTATATATATAGGTATGCATATGTATTATAAACGTGAAGTATGTGTATATGTAGGTGATATTTATGTGAAAAGCGATGTAGGTGAGATATAGTAAATGTGTCTATTCGTATAATCGTATATTAATGTAGGTATATTATGTGTGTGTGTTAAATATGGGTGGTAATATTGGTAAGAGGAAAATATATGTCAGTCAAGTGTAATTTAGTTATACAAATTTCACCAGAATATATATATATATTTTCTTCAAAAGGTGGGAGGTAATGCATAAAGGGAAGGCGTAAAATATATGTCGGTTACGTGTCGGATCTGGCGGTGGTGTTGGGTTTATGTGTTGAGGGTCAGTTATATTGAGTAAAATTGCTAGTTTCGGAGGACTACCACGAATTGCCTATAATTTTTTGCTATCTTTTTTACATGTAAAATTTAAGGGGGAGGAGCTCCAGAACCTACCAAATCATCCTACTGAATGGAAATTAGAAATGAATAATTTCGTATATTTTAAGGTGCTATATTAAATTAATTACAACTGCAATTGACTTTTGTTAATTTTAATGATAAATATACAATCATAAAAAATTTGCGTTTTTTATGATCAGTTTATAAGATTTTAATAAATTTTAAACATAATTATTATTAAAAATAAATAGTTGTATACTTTTTTATTTTACCTAAACATGTATATTCGTTACTAACTAGGTATTTTTTTTAAATGTGTCGACTTAAGTATACTCGTTTTGTTTTTTTTTTGTAGTTTTAGTTGTGATTTTGCAGACTTTGTATTTTTAAATGTGTATAGTCAATATTTGTTTTAATCAATGTCCTTTATTACAACCATAAATAGTTTAGCTTTGAAAATAATAAATGTATAATCAATTCAATAATTTTGTGAATTAGCCCTATCAAAAGCCATATCTATATTGTTTATAATTAGATTTTATACTCAATTTTACAATTCCACGTTATTTGTGTGGTATAAATTGTGTACAGAAAGATTGTGTAATTTATCTACTGGTAAAATCTGTAATAAATTAAGTTGTAATGTAAGAAAAGAGGTAAAATTATGAAATAACAGACTATATAATTATTATATATATATATAGTTAAAACTTTAAAAAATCAATTTTTTATTATTTTTTTTTTGTTTACCATCAACTGACAATAACATTATCTTAACGTGAATTTCGAACAATTCATTTACGATTAATTTTCTTCCATCGTATGTACTGTAGATTTGTATCACCACTTTCAAACAAAAAAATTGAAAATTACATAAACAATTATGCATAATAATAAATCATTAATCATTCTGCATACTCGTATATGGGTAATAGTGATTAATAGTATTATACATCACTGCTTGTAGTTTTATAAATTTTTATACATTTAAATTAGGTAGGTACTGCATTTTGGAAGTAAATTAAATAAAGAAATAGGTATAATTAATGCATATTCTATATTCATACGGATGGATACATATAATTAATAGCTTTACCTATACAGTATGTAAATATTTGTATATAAATATAACACCTAACGTATTTGAAAATAAAAGTTTAGAATGCTTAGATAAAATTTGTATGTATTATGTATATAATGAAATCAATGCATTAAATGCATGTATTTCTTATTTCCCTGAATTCAAATCATATTCATAAATTATACGTTTATGTTGTGTATATTATGTAATAATCAAGAAAAAAAAATATTGATTTAGCTGTTTATACTGATGCATAAAGTTTATGATACATATGTGTTACCCGTATTATGTCCATAAAGTTCATTGACGCAAATAATTATGAATATTTTATAAGTAGGTATCTCTTATATACTACAGTAACTGCATTATATTATTACTAAATATAGTTTAAATGAAAGGAATAAAAATTTATAAAACTATAAACATATACAATTCTTAGAAGATAATGGGTGAAATACCTTTAGTGAACAAAAAAAAGAAATAATAATAACCCATTAAATATGGTTAAAATTGACGTTCAACAAGTGAAAATAGGGTACCTACGGCGAGTTGTTTGTTACAAATCCCGTTATTATTATTATAATAAAAAAATTCGAATATTATCTCTTTTTTAACACATAATATGTTTTTTGTAACACCTGTAAAAACTTTAAGTATACTTTATTCATAATACGTTAATTATGTATGTAAAAAAGAAACTTTTAAATTTTTATTTATGCATTAAGATATGAAACCGTGATAAAATTGAGTTGCAATCATAAAACTTGTTGACTTTATTTCACGAGCACACGAGTATATTAAAATATACTGCGCTGTGTCAAGGACTTGAAATTTTATTATAAACGGTTTTTTATTTACTGTTACAGATTACAGGAGAAGCTTCTAGTAAATCTATAATAATCAAGAATTCTTTAGAACCCTTACGTTCAAAACAATGATTTCAATAAAACAAATGGTAAAAACGAATTTTTCTCCTGTAAATTCAAGTGAATACTGTTTTAAATACGTTGTTATCGTGCACGAATTCTTTCGTTGTAAAAACTAACTGTACTATATGGTTTTGATAAAGATTGACTGTTCAAAACCAATGTAGATGATTGGTAAGTGACGAAATTTATTTAGATAAGACATATTGCCATTAACCTTTATATGTTATTTGATTAGTGAAAGCTAATTTTTGTAAATATTCGATAATATTGATAATTAATTTTTGTAAGAACATACCTATATTAATGATATTAAAAATTCTCGTTAAAAATAAAAATCGAGATAATGATAAGTATTAATTAGGTATAGTAAATATTATATGTTTATTATAATATTTTTGCTAGGTTAATTTTGTTATGTAAAACTTGATTGTATCTAATATCTTGGTATAATTTGGAATACAATTATTTAATATACAGTTGTATTTATATATATTTTAAAAGTGTAAAAATTAGTGTGATTGATATTTAATAACTTTGTTAGTCAATTATGCGGAATCAACGTAATTTGTACCATACGTGTTTGACTTGGTTATTTGATCAAATAAAAAAATACAAATGTTTTACAAAAAATCTTATTTTTTTTAGTTTATGGTAAATTTAAGTATGAAATTATTCAGTTCAGTTAAACATTTACATTTTAACTTAAAGATTAAAATATTATAATCTGTAAAATGAATTATTTTTCATGAATAAATTATAATTTTTAAATTTAGTAGGCATTATTAAATAATTAATTTAAGTACATTATAGTTTTTTGTCACTTGGTTTAGTATTTTACTATTAAAATATTTTCTCTTTATATTTAACAATAATTCATATTACTGACTTTTCACTTTATTTTTTAGAAGTTTTATATTCTGAGCGGAGAGATGAACGTATAGATTTTACAATGATATATTTTTTTGGGTGTAACAGTCATCAAATTTTGGAGTAATAAAAATTCATTTAACTTTTTTAATAATGGTTAGATCCAAAATAAATCAAAAATTAAGAAAAACGGGAATTTTCACGCAAAATAAATTTTTGATAAAATTAATTTTTTTATTTTGAATATGCGTAAAGACTTGAAATTTTTATCAAATGTTTATGTTGTACATTTTTATACTTAGGATAGTTTTCAAAATGGGGCATGGTGTGATGCGGTGAAAGCACCATTTTCATAGTACGTTGTAGTGTTAAACTTGTGGTTTCGTTGCTAATTTCCGGATGTGTGACCATCTGGGAATTTTAGCAAAACACACGCCATGTCCTACCCAACCATAGTCGTTAAGAAAAATAAAGTATCTGATTAAAATCCTTTCTGACATTCTCTTCCCAAATTTTATCGATGAGCCTACATTTTTGAAAATTTAATACAAGATTCCACTTATTAAGTTTTTCTTATACCCGTATAAAAATATTAAAAGTATCTATACACAATTTTTAACTAAATGCATTTGAAATTCAATTTTTTACAAAATTTGTAAAAATCATAAAAATTTTTAAACTATTATAGTATTTTGTAATACAGGTAATATTTATTTTGTAAAATCTTTAATTTTTATAGCTAGAGTTTGAAAATGTAATACAATGTTCCTTACAAGTAACTCATTTGGGAACTAAAAAAAAATTGAAAATATACGAATATATTTATTTTTATAAATATTTTAACTTCAAAGTTTAAGTATAGACTAAATTACACACACGAATAACGATGTTAATTAATTTGTTATGGCTTAAAAATTTTATTTGTGGGAATTTTAACTTATACAAATGTTATGGATTTTGCTATACGTAAAATAATATTTTCAAAGTATGTAGATTAATTTTAATATATTATTTATTTATACTACGAACTTATTTACACTATTTTAAGTTACGACAGTATTAATTCAAAAATTAATAATAATAATAATAATAATGTAATTTGGTACAAATATATGATATACTTTTACGTATATTATGTTATTATGAATTTTACGCAATGACAATTTTGATTCATTTTGAGATATTATCTATTTTTAGGTCTACCACTTAAGCACCTCAAGTTTTAAATTTTTATATAAAAATTTCACAAAATTATGTATCCATTATGTAACGAGATGTAACTATAAAAACTTATTTTGTAACTTACAACGAAGTTCAGAATTCCAAATTTTATTCCGGGTACTGTCACCCCAGCATCCCGGGACTCTTCAAAATAATTTTTTCTACTTGATATTTTCACATCATTTTGTAACCAAATGTAATCCAATATTCCAGATACAGGGTTTAATATTAATCAATTAAGAATCTGAAATAGTTTTAAGTAATATAAATATTGTAATACATACTTACGTGTGTATAGTATTATATAATGTATAAAATATATTTTTTAATATCAATATTAATTTAATGATTTTAATAGTTTTGACTTTAAGTTTTTTTTTTAAATTTAGGTAGTATTAATATTTATATTATATTATGTATGCATAATAAATTTATGGTTATATTTATAATTTTAAATTCACAAAATCCCAGTTTATTTAATTTCTGGGAAGTAATAATCATCGATTTTAAGATGTTTAATACGTATTTATAGTTATGATGGATTAAATTATTATTTAATCCTAGCTTCTGGGAAATTATGTGTCAATATGAAAATTAAATATTTTACTATTTCTGCACTGCAAAATTTCTTTTATCATATTTTTGATATTGTATTTAAGTATAAAAATATTTAAATGCCCTATACTATGATTAATATTTTATACCGAACACGGAACAACTCCACAAAACAAGTCTTCCAACTCTAGCGACGTACGTATGATCGTATGTAGATGACTAACTGCTATTACCACATACTTGCATCAAATAAAAACATTAATACCTAATGTAGCCAATGATTTTATATGCAAAGCTACCTAATAACATACCTATGTACGTCATACCTACTATTAACCTATGACATTTTAGTTATTGATACATACATTGTATACTATATTATTCTAGGGGTAGAATAACAAAAAAATATTTTTGGATGAATAAATATTAAAATATACTGTGAATAACCAATATTGTATGGTCTGTGGATTTGTCATGTTAAAATATATATTATCTATGGAAATATTCAATCATCATTATTCATCGGAAACGATTAACAGTTGTAATAATTTTCAATGTAGAAAAAAATTGACGTACAAATCATTAAACCGTACTTTACTATATGTACGCATATTCCATTCAGTTCACTTTATTTTCATAATATATCTCAATATTTTCAATTTAAAACGCGATGAAGACGGATGAAGGAAGCTGTTCCTTCAATTTGGGCATTAAATATGATGCAACTAAGATTCATCAAGAGTTCTGTGTTTATGTAAGTTTAAGTTCCTATTTTTTTAAAGCTTTAATTCGCTTTTTAGATTTAAAAAAATGAATATACATTTATTGCGGTGGACAATCTGTTACTCGGCGGTTTACGTATAGATTCATATTTTATTCTCGAATGTGCAATGAATAAAATACGTTAACTCAAAAATTTGTAATTGAAATTTCGCCAAGTTCATTTTATAGAATTATGTATTTATATTATTTTTACAGTGTTTCACATTTTTAAATAGCCATTTTCCTTATCATAAAATAGGCAAAAGTCGCGTTAGGTAACGATTTACTCATATTATTCGATTATCTGATAAACTATTATACTGTTATGGACATTTATAAATAATTTTATTATTATTCATTTGATATCAACTTTCAAATTTCATTTTTTAATTTGATTTTTAATTCAACATCTTTAAAACTAATAAGATACAATTTTGAATTTAAGTAAAGTTTATTTTTATTTACGTATGTATAATGTAATAATATGTAGCCAATAATTTTATATACAACGCTACCTAACGCCATACCTATATAACGTCATACCTACTATTAACATAATATAAAATTTTAGTTATTGATACATACTTTGAATACTGTATTATTCTAGGAGTAGAATAACAAAAATTATTCTGAGATGAATGAATATTAAATACTGCAGTGATATTTATTAAGAATTATTAAGGTATGAAAATTAAATAACGCTATAAATCAAATTTCTGATAAATTGTTATGTTTCGTAATAGAAATGTGCTTATATTGCTTATACAGCGCCTTGGATAACAATAAAACAATGTCAATGTAATATTTGACACGATATTAATTATAAACTTTATCTGTGGTCAGGAATTTATTTTGTTACAATCGCCCATGCACCGCAAAGCGTAGTAAATGGCGTATATAATTGTTTTATTCTTAAAAATTCAATGTAATAGGAAATATGATTCTGAGTCAATTTTAGCTTAATAAAAACATACAGTTTGCTTTCTGCCCAACTGAATATTTTTTAAATAATCAATTCATTGTACAAACTATTACTATTTGTTATCGATAAGATAGAAATATGTACTTAATACTTATAGTATAAGCAATGACGTATATGGGGTGGGCATGGAAGTGTAAGTCCCAAATGGCACAATAATTAAAATAAATCGTAATTATTGATAAATAATTTGAAAATGTAAATTCTAATGTTCAAATAATTATTTTAAGAGGATGTTCATTCCTCTATTTAGTTTATTTATTTATTTATTTATTTAAATAGATATCATTAAAATAATTAAATACTAATATAATAAATGTAATGTTTTCGGAAAAAATTAAATCAACTTATCGTAATAGTAAAATAGTAAGGTAAATAATAAAAATATAACATTAAATATAATGGGTACTTGGTAATATAGGCTTAACAGGTCATCTTCGCTCAGTATCGTTTTTCGTATACAATAATATATCTATGAATTAAATTTAACACATTCATTATAGTGATCCACTTGACACCTAGTTAACATCAGAGCGTTACCTACTTGCCCACTATTTTTTTTCTTTTTTATAATTAAATATTTAAAAACAACACTTAGATTTAACAAAACAAGAGGATAATTATGTATACTTTCGTATGATTACACGTGATTAAACATAATTTTATTAGTATCTAATGGTGGTGGGAGTTAAAGTGTTGACTGTTAGTTACTCAATGAAAAAATTGGCCATAATTGTGTCACCCTAATTATGTAATCTTACTTCTTAGCATTTTGAATTCTGTACCTGAGTCTTTTACGCCGTCTATACACGATAATGAATCCGAGATAATATACTTAACTATGCAACTACCAATACTGAAGGGTAAAATATA